TTGTGCCAGATTATTTTGACCTCAACTTCTTCTTTATTTTGAATTTCTATTAAATAATTTCCAGAAATATTTGTCTCATCTAATTTTAGTTTTTTAGTAGTGTTTAAAGAAGTTGATTTATTTTTCCACTTGATTATTTCATGAAAAGTTCCTTTAACACCTGCATATTCGGCTTTTACGTCAACATCAAGTTGATCTAAAAAAGTTATCTCCTTGGTTTTATTAAAAGACCAAGATGTAATATTTGGAGTATTTTCAGAAGGAGTTATTTCTGCCTTCCAAGAATTACTACAACATGATAAATTTCTTGAGGTAAAAATAACAGAAGAAACTTTAGTTGTATATGAATCTAAATCATTAATCTTTTTATCGTATTTAAAATTTTCAATCACGGCATTGAGTTTATAATCAGAAGTTTCAAATTTCCACAGCTGCCTTGAATACAGAGGATTGCGTGGACTATAAATATTGGAACTAAAATGAACAGTTGAATATGCACCCCAATTGTCTAAATAACATTTATTTAATAGATTTTGTATTTGTACTTTTTTAGATTTAGAATCATTCTGATTTAAAAAAGACAATAGCTGCCTTGAATAATAAGGACTATCAAAATGATTTTTATAACTTATGCGAACTTCTGATCCATTTTCACCTCCAAAGGTATCTAAAAACTTTCCATTACTTGAAATTCTATATTCTCCAAAATTTGACGATTCTTCAAGGAACCATATTTGCCTTGAATAATTGGAGTCATTTCGATCATATGAATATCCAGATAGTATAACATAAGAACCATAGTCACCTCCCCCGTTATCTAAATAATGCCCATCGTTTATTATCTTGTAAGGAATACCTGTTGTAATATCCAAATTTTCATCATTGGTATTGTGTACAAATTTGTTAGGAATTAAAGCATCCATTATATAAAGATATAAGTAGATGTTAAACAACTTGGCTTGGCCAGTTCACTCTGTTTGAAGATTTACACAAGTAATAATAGCTTAACCTTATTCTTTTATCGTATTATTTTCTTTACTGTTCGTATTAAGTTCACACTAATTATTTGTTATTTTATTAAGTAGCACTAGAATGAATAATATCTGGTACAG